GAAGAGGCCATAGAAAGGAAGAGAAGAAGAAAAGTGTTGAGGATCAGCAAATGTTCAAGGGACAGGCAAAGGAGGTGGAGCCAGCAAAGAAGACAGGGGTGGTCAGAAAAGTTGAATAAATGTCAGAAAAGTTGGGATCAGGAAAGCCAAGGAAGGAGAGATTTATCAAGGAGGCGAGGGTCAAATAATGTGGAGATGTCAAGATAGGAATTGAAAAGTGTTCCCCGGATTCTTCAATTAACAGCTCATTAGTGACTACTTCACGAGAGTAGGTGGCTGAGGTAGTAGCCTACTTAGCAGGTGCCAAGTACAGAGGAGAAAGCGTGGTGGAAAGAGCGCGGATCCCAGAGGTGGACAGACCAGGGTTTCGAATCCCAGCTCCACACATACTAGCATCTTGTTCAACATCTGTGCCTCTGTTCCTTTGTAAGATGGGGCTAACCAACACCTCATAGGGTGGTTGTGAGGGTTTCGTGAGCTCAACCATATAAAACACTTGGGATAGAGCCTAGCACATGGAGGTGTGATATTGTATCTAATGCTTCAGAGTAGGAAACCTAAACTGCCAAAGGCATCCCAAGCAGCAACGTAATACTCAGTGCCTACAAAATTGTTGGCAACAGAAGTGGAAGTCAGGGGGCTTCCATTGGACTAATGGCTTCAAGGTCATTTTATTGTAGCTGTGACCCAAATCTAGTTCAGGAAGCTTCTGCTCCACCACCGCTGCCGTGACAATCTCCCACGCACAAAGCTGTGAGTGGACACATTGGAAGCTAGAGTACGGAAGCCACAAACACATCTCTGGAACTGCCCGCCAGCCACCAAGCCCAGGAAGATGCCCTCTGCCTAACGTGAGCCTTCCAAACATCGTGCAAAGGCATCTCATTGGCAGAACTGAAAATGTATCAGAACCCATATTGTATAGAGAACCCTAGCTGCAAGGGAGTCTGAGATAGGTCTTTTTTTTTTTTTCTTTTCTTTTCTTTAGGCTTCCAAGGAGAAACACAAAAAGGGTAGGAAGGGATGCTGAGTAACAACAGATAATATCCAGCACATCTGTCTCGAGGTGGAGCAAATATTTTCATCTTGACAGCTGACACCAGCATTCCAACTGTGGTCAAAATGTAGGCTGTCACTGGTTGACAAAATCCTGATACCAGACAGAAAATGGTGTACAAACAGTCCATAGGTTGGGACCGGAAGGACAGGGGTGGAGAAATTAAGGAAGGTTCTGTCTTGTGGCATGAATTATCACTGTAAAGTGGGGAGCAAATATCACCTGCCCTGACGGAAACAGGTGGAAGGCCAGGGCACCCGATGAGAGCAGACGGCTAATGAGTACATGGGGGAGGAAGCTGCCACCGTGTGAGAAATCCTTCTGCACACTGGCTAGCAAAGAAAACACGGGACTTAGTTTATAAAGCATTGTTATTCTTATTTATTGAAAATGTCCATTTTAAAAGTCTTCAAAATAAAAACAAGTTAGAAAATTTGAGCTTGTGTAAGAAGAGACATGACAGAAGAGGAAGTAAAAAGCCTCTAAGGGCAGCAGTTTAATTACAGGGTAACAGGAACCCACTTACAGAGTGTTGTAAACAACACAACTATGGAGACACTGCTCTCGGTTTAACATGGCTTCATTTCCTTTATATTACTGCTTAATATGTGAGCGCGGACACCACTCTGAGTACCGAGGGCCTCTCCTCAGAAGGGCCAAGTTCCAAAAACATGCATATGTACACGTTGCTTTAAAATAAAGACCTTTCAATATTATAAGCAATCCTATACCTTATCGACTATTTTGTAATCACAAAAATGTTCCCTATGGATGTAGTTTGCACATTTACTGCAAGGCATTGATTAACCACAGGCGGGGCAGATGCTCAGATCTGTGTGGTTGTTGTTAATTTTTAGGTGAAGGACGGAGTATCTAAGCTGTTGGGCTTAAAAACAGAACTACGGCCATTTCCAGAAATCTTCTTCACTCTTGAGCTTCCAAAGATGGCTGCGTGTGGTTGGCTGATGGCAGACTGTGGAATCATCCCCTTCCTGTGGGGAGTTCTTCCTGTGCAGCAAACAGTCAGCAGCCCTGTACCGTGTAGCTATGGGAACTTGAGACCCCCCCCAGTACTAGAAAGAAAAAGAGCTTAGCAAGCTGGGGGATTCAAGCTTCAAGTGTGGTTTCTAAACACCATTTGCAAAACCCACATGTATAGGCACCCATCAAATGTATCTGGTAGACAACCTTGACCAGTCCATTGGCCCTTTGCCTCTCTTTCCAGTGATCTACCCCACCTGCCCAATTGCACCTGTCTTGGGGAGAGAAAGGGGCAGGTTGCACTGCTCTGTCCTGGAGCCTTGTGCCGACTTTCATTTGTGCTGAATTTGGATGTGTTTTGTTCTTCTGGGACCCTCTTCTAAACCTGGTTTACCACAGTTCTAATTTTGGAGACACTTACAAAGGTGATTGTTTGATTCAATGAGCAATGTTAGTAGACCAGTTCCAAATACTGAGCTTCGCTAGCAACCAGCACACGACCACTAGAGGGGTCCTTTCTTTCTGGATACACAAACTGGACCAACAGCACATTTCTGCAAATAATGCTTCAAGTTCTACTCAAAGAGGCTGATGAATATTACAGCTTCTCACTGCATACCTGGGAAAGCGATAAAGTGAATTAAAGCGGTCTACTAGGACACAATATCTCCTCAATGCAGATTGTTTTGAAGGATGAGAAGTCCCATGTTGAATATGCAATGTAGATGAAGTAACTGCTCACAGTCTATATTTTCAAAAAGTAAGCAAAGCGCACACATACTAGTTTACACACCGCTTCATACGGTTGGCTGAAAGCACTGGGGAAATAGAAAACTTACACACGAGGCAGATGGTTAGGGGGGAAAACCTATCATGCACTGGGCAGGGATGGTCAACTCTGCGGCTAAAGGGGAAGATTGTCTAGTGCAATTTGCTAATGGGTCTGGTACTGGCAGGGGTGACCGGAGCTTCTGCCCCATAGAGTTAAAATGTAAACCCACATAAAAGGAATAAGGGTGCTACTGTTTTCTTGGCCTTGTAGACAACACAGGGCAGTAATTAAAATAAAAAGTGTGCATTGAGGGGTGGCACATGATAGTCAGGGCAGGGTGGCTGGGTCACTGGGCAAATGTGCTAGTCTTCCATTCACCCTACCCTAGTCATAGCTCAAGGAGCTTTGCCCTCCTTAAACTGGGTACTGAGGGGCTTCCAGATACAAGAAAGCATGAAAGAAAAAGTCAAGTTCACATTTACTAAGCCATGGCCAGCCACTGTGATATGGCAGCCAGCCCCAAAAGAGTGACGGGACGGGGCGGGGCAGGGAGGAGGGTAATGGCTGGTGAAGAGGCACTATGAATTCAAGGCCATCTGAAGACCGTTTAAGTCATTTGCCTATACTAGTTGTCCTTTTCTTATTAGATGGAAAAGACTCTGGGGAGACTTCCACCACCACCTCTTGCTTTTACCCCAGTCAAAAAGAAAACAACCAACCAATAACTGAATGACAACAAACACTCAAGCAAACAGAGACAGAGAAAGAGAAAGAGAGAGAGCGAGAGAGAGAGAGAGAAAGACTGACTCAGGTACAAAATAAAAACCAAGGAAGTGATCAAACAAATCATTCTGCTGGACATTTCGAGATGCCCTGGAGGCACGTGTGCCCAGCTGCACAGTGATGGTTATGGAAGAATGGAGGTCTTGCTACTGGACTCGGCCCGAATACACTCATCAGTCTGCTTCAAAAGCCTCCGGACCAGCTTTTCTAGGTCCCTTCTTGATTTCAATTCTTCTTCCAGGCACTGCTTCATTCTTTTATTTTCCTATGATGGCAAAAGACTTGTTAATTCCCCAACCAAGGAGCGCCTTCCCAGGGCTCCTCCTGCTCCTCCTTTTAGCAGCCTTCACCACTGACTGTGCTTTCCTTCCTCAGGCTCCCTTCGCTCAGCTTCTAAGACAAGGCAGCCCTCTGCCTCTCTGACCCCTCTCTGGCCGAGCCTTTGCATTCTTCTTGCTTGCAGTGTAAGCGTCCTCTACGGCTCTGGCCTGGGGCCCTCTTCCAACTCAGCTCTCTTTTCACTTAGTGTCTCATCTCCTTCAACTCAACTCAGGGGCCTCCCGAGTCCTTCTGACACTTGACCTCATCTCATCTCACGAGCACTGGGTCCACAGTCCCCAGTGTCAGCTTGATATTTACAAGCACCTCAAACTCATAACGTCCTAAAATGAACTCAGTGTCTCCACCGTCACCCCAAACTTCTCTTCCTCCTGTGCCTCCTGATCTCCGTGAAGGGCACCACCCTTTCAAACTAGATACCCACGTAAGAAGCTTCATCTTCAATCCCTGGCTCTCCCTCTTAATCCCAACATCACAGCATCATTTTCCATGGGCTCTACCCCTGCGATGTGCCTTCCTTTACGTTCATTTTCCTCCCTCTGCAGCCTCAATGGCGCTGCCTCAGTTCAGGACTCCATCGTGTCTCACCCTGAGTTTTGTGATAACCTCCCAAGTGGTCTTCCAGTCTCTGTTCTCCCCCCTCCAGCCCATCCTTTCCCCCGTCACCAGGTACAGCCAGTCCCCAAACACCAGGAAGAGTGTGCATCATGGAGCACTGGATCACATCTGCAGAGGATCCCACAAATCAAGATTTACAGTTCTGTTTACACTCACACACTCAGGGATGATTTATCTTTGTTAACATTCTGTTTACAAATGTCAGAGAGCATGAAAGTTGTAACTAAGTATGGGACCCTATTGTAAACCGCTAAATAGGTATATGAGCAATCCTGAGAAATTTAAAGCCAAGACCGCGTGGTAAAATCAACAAAACCCACCATGAAGACACAAGAAAAATCCCCACCTCACTACCTTGTTCCTGTTATGTGACCCAAGAAAATGACTTTTCCATTTCATTACCTGTTTCAGTTCTTTGACCTCATCCTTCAAGGCATACACAGTGTCGACCAGACTCCTAGAACATAAATTTCAGAGATTAAGAGCTGGCACTGAAATACTATTAAGAAAAACTTAAGTATAAAAGCAGCTTTCGAGAACTACAGCTCCTGAAAAGCAGTGGACTTTCCAGCTGGTCGGGAGAGACACTGCCACAAATGGTGCTCGTGGTCCCTATTTTCAGGGGCCAACAACCGCCCGCACCCGTGGTCATTCGAATGCCATGTCATGGCACCTTTTCTCTATTGCCATCCTCCTTGACCGCTTGCTTCCCAGCTTGGGAGAGTACAAAAAAAGAGAGACTCGGGCTCATCATAAGGTTTTGATTCTTCCTTTGGGGCAGGAACGAACATCACCTAACATGTAATGTGGGGTGTCATGAGACCTGCCTATCTTATGGTATCCGGGCAATGGCACTGCTGTTCTCACCTCTCTGACCCTACATGACCCTACATGACACAAAGTCAGGGGCATTCTTCCTGGAAGATCCCATCTGTTCCAAAAGAGGATAAAGTGCCCTGGCTAAGTCATGGGACAGTTACTTCCCAGATGGCTCTCTCCCTGGACAAGAACTCTGGAGATCTGGGTTCCAGTTCGGATGCTCCCACTTACCAGTCCTCCAACCTTGGGTAACCAGTTTCTTTCTACTCCTCTCCTTGTCTTACTTTCTTCACATACAAAATGGCAATAATACCACATTCCCCGCAAGCCTCACAAAGTTGTTGTGGGGATTAATATAGCTATTATAACAATTATTATTACAACTGTTATCATTTATTGAGTGATGACCATGTGCCAGCCTTTATACTTATTCTTCCATTTAACCCTACCACAAACCTTAAAGTATTACTATCATACCCATTTATGGATGGGGAAACCGAGGCACAGAGTGGTCAAGAGGCTGGCCCCCACATCACACAGCTAACACGATGCAGAATTTGGACATGAACCAGGGCTGTTCTCTTAAGCCCAAGGGCTTTACCATTTTGCCACATCACTTCATATACCAGATGGGAAAATACATTGACGATGTCAAGCACTTTGAAATATGCTGTCCTATGCAAATTTAGGCCTGACTTCAGAAATGACTCAAGTTTAAACAAATGAATTATTTGGCTACTTTGTGTTTATTTTATGAGCCCATATGTACTTAACCTGATTTTTCCCCCATTGGGTCACCCTCACTAGTGTGCAAAGGTAGACCGGGAACATTATTTCCCTGAGCCTCAACTTCAATAGAAGTGGTGAAAGTAATGCTTATCTCGCTGGGTTTCTGTAGGATTCTAAATAGGTCAAGTATGTAAAAGTCCAGGGTTTGACTCAGTAAATGCGAGAAGCAACCCTCTGGCCATGGAAACTGGTGCTGTCGCCTTCCCAAGTGCCACCTAGACCCATCTGGAGTGCTATTCTTGCATACCCTAGAGCACCTTCCCATGTGGGGGAGCCACTGTGCAGAGAGTTCCACCCGCTCTGCCTCCCCTCCCCACTTCCCCTTGTTGGGGGGCAGCCCTCCCACAGCTCCCAACTGCATGAGAGCAAACAGGGCTATATTCCCAGAGAAGGAGGGACTGTCCTTCAGTGCAGGCTTTGCAAGAGATGCACTGCCCTGCTGGAACCTTCTTTCCAGCTCCCAGACAAATCAGAAAAGGTAGCCCGCTCTACTCACTTTTCTTCGATGATAGTCTGGCCATTGCTCCTGGTTTCTTCAATGATGAGTTTCTCCTCCTCGGGGAGTAAGACTTGTGGGAGCGAATCTTTGCGTGCACCTACAAACAAGGGTTGTGAGGGGAGAGTTACCCGAGACTGCTCTAGGTGTTGGTCCCTTCTACTATTGTCACTGAGGGGTCCTTGTTGATGGCACATTGCTGCCTTGCACCCAGAGAGCAGTCATCCAACATTTGCTGACTAAATCTTCCTGACGTGAGAAAATAGACAAATACATTGATTCAATTTTGGCCAGGGTGGGGGGCATTTTGTCAGTGAAGTCCATTCCAGTCGAAGGTGGAGCAGGGGTTGGGCGTTATCGCATCAGCACAAAGACATGGGCGTGTTTATGGCTCTGCTCAGACTCTCTCCAGGCTCTGGGGATGGAAGAGGTGACAGAACAGACAAGGGACCGGACCAAAGAGCTCTCCTGCACCTCCAACCTCCCCCTCACTTCTGGATCCTTCCTCTTGGAGTTCGAGCCCTTAATCTTGAATCTTCAAGTTGTGTGCACTCACTGCCTCCCCCTTGCTGAGGGGGTGGTGTCTCTGCCTTCCACAGGGCCCAGCACTAAGTAGGCAGCAGACTGACAAACTGCCTGGTTAAATGCACTCAGTTCCCCAGGAAACAGGACTTCTGGCTGGAGAGAGGGACAGAGAATGGGAGGCCTCCATGATGCTAGACATTTGCCACATGTCAGGGGCAGGCTAGGCAGGAGGGGTGGAAACGTGACTCTCGAGGCCAGAACACTGCCTCCACCTCCTACAGATCTGCGGACACTGTTGATGTGAAGAGAGCAGGTTCAGGGAGCAGATGAGGTCATGTTTTGTATGAGGGATGCTTCTTCTGGTGTCTCCCTGTCCCCCTCTCTTTCCTAGTTTTCACGCCCCAAACTGCTCTCACGTTCCATTCCTGCCTCCTTGAAACTTGTTCTCAGAGCCAGGATCTGTCTATGAAGCAGAACATAGGACAGTCCTCTCTTCACGGTCAAATGTGTGAAGTCTGACATCAAATGTTTTCCTCACGCCAGCCTTGGGGACATGTTACTTTGAAGGCATCGGTCAAGGCCATCCGCCCAAGTGATCCCCACCCCTACTCAAGTGATTGGTCATTAGCTGTCCAACAGGGAGCGTTACGGAGAACTCACTTCTTCTGCAGATGCAAACACCTTGCACCAGGTCTCCTGAATGTCTATAATCACAGCAGACAAGACAGAACTGATGCGACCTGGTTTTTTAAAAAGCTCAAGGAGCAATCAGAAAAACCTCATCTGGCTTTCAGTTTGTAGCCTGAAAGGTGCTGGGAGGTGGGGCGGGGGGTGCCCTTTGCTGGTAGCTCCCTGTAAACTGCACACATTCCAAACGGCCCCTGCTGAGCAGCTACACTTCCAGATTTTCAGAGCAACTTTGAGAAACCTGAGCTGGGTGAAGCACTGTTCACTTAAATATGCAGCTGATCAAAGATAGTATTGTGACTTCCTTTCCAAATCTGCCTATGAGAAGAGATTAGCATCAGTTCACAGACACAGGAACTCTCTGGGCTCTTTAATTCCTAACTAGTGCTCGTGAAGGTATCCGTATACTTCAAAGGAGAAGGACTTTAAAAAAAAAAAAAATCTTTTTTTTTTTTTTCTCATTTCTATCACCTCCAACTTTTTTACTCTTGCGTCTCTCTTTCTCTCTGGGTGAAAAGAAACAGCGGGTAAACAAACCGCCTGGCAGCTCAAAGCACCTTATCGGAAAGATGCAGTTCTGAAGCACTCCTCTGCACCCGGTCACCTGCTTTTCTCTTTTTTCAAAGAGGCGCTGAGCAGTCAAAAAGAAATAGCATTCATTAGAGAAAGTGGTTTGGGAGGGAACCTACTTGAGCCGTGGCCTTGTTGAAAATTTGCGCTGGTGCAGTAGGCTTCGATCACTTTAAGGATCTGCGCATCTTCTTCCAGAGCAGCAGTACCTGTCGGATTTAAGGAATAAGGACTTTGCAGAGACAGATCTGCCTCTGGACCCTCGAGATGACGCGGCGCACTCCGCTGCTGGGGGCTGGCTTCCCTGACTGGAAAGCCTCCTTCGGCCGCTTTCTTTCCATTTTTCTTTGCTGAGGAAATCTTTTCATCGTTTGGGGGCTTCTACTAAGACTCCAAGGGGCCACAATGACCGCAGCGGGCGTGGCCCTAGCCTCAGTTCTCAGCCAAAACACACCACAACCCGCCTCCCCTCCAAATTGTAAGGCTCCCCTTCTCTAGGAAGCTTTCCCCCATAGACCTCACCCATTTTTTCCAAGCAGCCAGCAGAGTCATTGATTCTCCCTTCCTCCCTCTCCCTCTCCAACTCGTTCTGGAAGGGATTGGGGGATGGAACCCTGCTAGAGGGCTGATGTGCGCACCCAGGGGTGGGCTGGGCTATGCAGAAGCTGGAGTCCGGCAAAGATTTCTCCAGACTGTATTTTTGACTGAGACACTGAGGAGGCATCCCTTACTCCTTCACGTGTGTCCCAAAGTAACTCGGTCCCAGCCATAGAGGCCAATGCGCACATATGGACTGGCCAACCGACTCTGCTGTCCGCCTGGGAATCAAGCCGTTTCTACACGGCAGCAGGCTGATACCTTGGCTAACTGGGAACGTCACTGAGCATTAAATTTCCAGAAGGATTTCAGCCTTCAGGTCTGTTTAGTCTATCTCAGTAGCGGAAAACATCTTGGGCATCAGAAACTAAGGGACAAAAAATGTATCCATAGCAAACGTGGCCCTTCAGTGGCTCTCAACCAGGCGGGGCAAAATCTTCAACGCGAAGATCATATGGAGGGTGTTTGGCTCAGATCACATGAAGTGCAGTGGGAGGCAGCTCGTTCAAAAAGCTTAGAGGTGACCAAACCCTAGAATGCATGCGTTTTTCTTTGTGTAACAGGTGATACAGAGGACAAGCTGCTCTCATCATCTGCTTTCAACAAAATTCTTCTGCTAGCTCATCCATAACTGACCGTCAAAAAGTATAAAACACATGGCGCCTGGGTGGCTCAGTCGTTAAGCGTCTTGCCTTCGGCTCAGGTCATGATCCCAGGGTCCTGGGATCGAGCCCCACATCGGGCTCCCTGCTCGGTGGGAAGCCTGCTTCTCCCTCTCCCACTCCCCCTGCTTGTGTTCCCGCTCTCGCTGTGTCTCTCTCTGTCAAATAAATAAATAATATCTCTTTTAAAAAAAAGTATAAAACACATACTTTTCCGAATCACATATTCCTCCTCCGATGGCTTTCTTTCCGTCTTTCTTTTGTGAAGAAACTTCTTCATTGTTTTGGGGCTCTTACTAGACTCCTGTAAGGATAGAGGTTTCTTTATGAATTAGAATTCTCCCCCTGAAAACAAATTGAAAAGAGCAAATGAAATTAAACCGAATGGCTCTCTCTTATTTTGACAGTTTCCAGAGTGCATCAAAATTTAATAACATACACCAAAAAAATGGCTCCAATAAACTCTAAAAGGTTACATAAAACAGAGGCAATGACATTGTCCTCTCAATTGCCATAGGGACAGGTGCCATCTGTAGTGAAAGCAGTGGGTGTTGATCCTCGGGAAATAACCGTATTCCTAACGTGGTTTACAGTCCTCACTGATACAGTTTTAAGGGAATTAGGTAACAACTGTAGTACATACTGCTTTTCAAAGAGCTTCAAAACGGTTTAAATACATTTTCCTTAGCAACAGTCCCCCAAAGAAGAATATTAATTTCCATTTGTCAGATGGGAAAATTTAGGCAGAGGGACTGAATACTTTCCCTGAAGTCAGGGAGCAGAGCCAAATGAGGGATCTCTGGATAAATAACTCGGGGTCAAGAGTCACGGGTGTAGACCCAAGCTTAAATATACATATATAAAGCCATATTTTTAATTAGGTGATTAAAGAGCCATGAATTATTGAATTTGCTTTTGCCGT